ACTTTTCTATGCATTGACGGACTCTTTGTTATCTCTACAATTAACTGAAATTACCTCAAACCATCTATGTGGAGAAAGCTTGTATTTCATGAAACTTAACGTATGCGTTTCTAAGTTAATTAACTTAACATGATATAGGACATTAATCGATAATCATTATCTTATCTGTATATAACAGCTATAAATGCTAACGATGTATATTCATTTATGCATTAGTTTCACTAACCCGAATAATTCAGTCGTTATATTCCGCTGATCTACGAAGGCTACACTCGTGTGGTAGAAAATCGGACACGGAAAGGGCTTGAATTATTCGAGTTATACTTTGACAAAAAGCTTACTGTATAAATGATCGATAATGTTCAAGACGTTCCGAGAATAGTCCTACCGAGGATATCGAATGGCCCATAGAAATAGCCAAAAACTCACCAATATATAAGCGTGAACCCCTCACGCAAAAAAAAATTGACAAATAGATCACAGAAGTGAAAACTATTTGGTAGTTGAGTTGAAATAGATTAAGATTTAAAAAGACATCGCCTTTCTTGAGGCAAGAACTTGAAATTCATATACAAATGTGAAACAGTAACAAAACATAAAAGTAACAGTGGAAAAAAAGATGTTATAACATGTTGGTGACAAGCCACTTACAACCAAGGCTGTTTCTTATTAGGTGCATTTTACTGCAATAAAATAAATTTTTCAAAAACTGTATAATTATTTGCGTAAACTCTGTATTTTACTCATTTTCTTCGAACTCTTTGTATTAACGTCTTAATGAATGCCCAGTGGCAAATATTTCATACTATTTTGGGAAGATATACTCATAGTTCTTCTTTTTCTGCATGTACTCAATCAATTGACAAAGCCATTTTTTAACTGAATGGTGACATTGCATGGTAATGGTTATATCTTGATTTAAATTTCGGTAAGAAAGGCTAAACATTTATTATAAGAAAAAAGAGCATTTATATATTACGGAAGAATATTCTAGTTTTTTTTTAACTAAAAACGTAATTATAATGATTCAATACAAGACTCATAAAACAAAAAGACATTTACAAAACCGAAAAAATAAATAAGAAACAATACGAACTCCAAAAAAAAGGGGAGTGAAAGTAGGTGCTCAGGAAGGGTAAGCATTTGCGAAAAAGATTAATGTATCTGCTCTCTATTACACATCATATAATTTACTTTGGTTGTTTTTGTAGATTAAATATTACTGTCTGATTGGTTGATTCGTAGATTTACGAAAGTTCATTAAAACACTAAAAAATATATTTAATTATTCCCTCGAAGGGCAGACTAGAAATGTTCAGACGTTGAAGATCAAGAATCCTAGACAAAACACACAAAAAATAAGAAAAAAGGAAGATATGTATTTTTTTTTTATCCACTTGCAAAGTCTGCAAGGGCTTTTGGTGAAAATTAAGGGGGTGCAAGTAAACGGTATCTCCTACTTTTCTTTATAGTACATTTGCATGGGTAAAATGGTTAACTATACTGTTGAAAAATGGATAAACTATTACCAACAAAAAAATACCAGTATGACAAAACATTAAAATTGGCTTATTTGAGGTAGATAAACGTCTTCATTTGTATCATTCGAACACACCTACCATGCCGTAATGACTCATTGCAAAAGCATGACATTTGACCCATATAATTTATTCTTTAATAAAGTGATTTTTAAAGCTTTTTTTATCAACAATTAGGCTTTATATATGAAAATAATGAAATCCGAAGCGTAATGATATATCAATTCTTTTGTTTAGACAAAACAGTAAACTCAAACACGCCTGAACTTAACAAGGTCTACCCATGGAGGTACTATACTAACTTAGTTACAAGTAAGTATAGTACCTCCATGGTCTACCCGACTTTTATTTGCGATAAAATGGTAATGGGGTGAATTTAGGACTTAACAATATGGTTTATTTTTCAATCATTGTACAGGTCATAAAGTGTTGTCTTTGTCAGCTTGACTCTTTGGCAAGTAATTGGTTCCAGTACTTAATTTTCTGTAGGTTTGTTGCATATACATGTATACGGGATATAGAATAAAACGGTCATTATACATATTCAAGAACAATGATGGTTTTGAAAATTATTTAACTATTTTACATCCTTTTGAGCAAAGAAAATTACGAATATCTGCACATAGACTACAAATTGAATTTGATAGATACCGGGGTATTCTTCGACAAGACAGAATATGTTCCAGGTGCACCTCAGGTGAAGTTGAGGATGAAGTTCATTATCTAATAAAATGTGACACCCATTTACTTAAGAGAGAGGAATTAATTCAAAATATATTAAAATCATGTCCAAACTTTCAACATTTAGATACATATAACAAATTAGTTAGGATTATGAATACGGAAGACCCCTGTACATTAGCTGCAATTTTTATGTATATAAAAGATACAGATAATTAGATCGTAATCTGCAGCAACTAATTTTAACTTGCTTCTTTATTAAACACTATTATACTCTGGTAGGCCTGCACTGAGCATAAGAAGATTTAAATTCTGCGGCACCGTCCCTTGATGCTCATTGCTGGTTTATCATAGATTTCTTAACGCTGCTATAATTTATTATCTTTCAAAACTACTTTTTATGCGTTTTTGACTGATCTGTTTTGGGTACAAGTAGGGATTACCCCTTTCAGCATCGACACTTGGTACCCATTGCAGATGAGCCAATATTTATAAATTAATGTAGTTGCATAGTTAGGTTTATTTTATTTTATTTTTAATGGTCACAGCAACTTCCTGATGCACTTGGGTCAAGGTTGATTTTAAAATGTCTATCTTTTATTTACACTACATGTACTGTTGTTCATATAATTTAGTTTTGTCAAAATGTGTAATCATATAGTTGTATGTTATATGCCCTCCTGGGCCCTAATTTGGTGAATAAACTATTCTATTTTATTCTATTCATATGCGACACTGTAATATTGTGTGAAGATAATTAAAATGATGCACAACTTTTAATCATAATAAAGCTATCCTGTAAGGATGAAAGTGAATCAGCTGAACTTTTAAAAAGCAGCTTTGAAAATAAATTAATAAACCCAGAAGAACCTTGACTTTTTGCAAATTATTAATTTTTTTAAATGGGCATGACTTTTCACAAATATGGTAATTAATTTAGAACCGTACATAAAGCTTCAAAGTATTTCCTTTTGATGCTATTTAAACAATGAAACATTTATTTCATAGACTTTACACAATAGCCATACTAATCCAAACACAGGGGTCCAAATTCAACCTCCTTGTTCTACTAAATTATTGCATAATTTGAAATGTGATAATTTTGTCATATTGCTGTAGATTGTGATTTGTTAATTGTGGATCAGTATGTCACTAATAACACATAGTTATATTATGATTGGTCAATTTATTGTTATCCTATTGTGCACTGCATGTGGTATAATAGATATTTGAAACGTTATCATTCATTTTGTACTGGACTATACTCTGTAAATGTAGTAAACTTGCATTCTTAAAGTTTTCAGTGGATGCGACTCGTGTAGTTACAATTTAATCCAAACATTTGTGAACGATATTATTCAATGACATGCTCATTCTAGTTTGGATAAATATTTTTAATCGAACTTTTAGTACATTTCTAATTTTAGGAATTTCGCACAAAAGAAATTGACTTTTGTTTTATAAAATTCATTTAATGCAATTGATGTTTATCTTTAAAATTAAATTAAATGAAAATTAAAAAAAAAAAAATTAAAAAAAATGTAAGTATAACAATATCAATATAATATATAGTCATTTGAACTAATATATTTCTATATTTTTTTTCGGAAAATTTTAATCTAATCAAAAAAAATCCATGATAGACTCAGCTGCAGCATTTAAGATATACATTTCCAAGAAGAACAAAACCTACTAGGTAATTTGTCTTAAAGGCAATTAGAAGGAGTATTTACAAAACGACAGTAAGAAAATGCGAGACAATACTGAAAAATATTCATAAATTAATATCCCCCATCTATTTATGCATAGAGCCGGCATTTAAAGAAAAACAAATTATATATATAATCTTTATTTATACCTGCCCGAAGTATACAAAGCAATGCAGTGCAACAAATCATTGCATACTTGCGAAATATATTGCAAAATTGGATGTTTACAAAGCTGCACTACACCAGTAAATATTTGTAAACATGTGTCTTTATTGTGTATTCTTTATGGGGTGTAACTTTTGCAAATAATAACCTCCACATGCATTTCATATCCATCGTTTAGCAATGTAAAAATGATTGTTTATTATATATTTGTTGTCTCTATATTCCCACACAAAGATTAATGTTTGTTCTTGAATTGTTAAGGTTATAAAATTCCGTAAAATTTAAGAAATGACATGTCTTTCCATACGTGAAACGAAATGGATAAATATCTTTATTTCCAAATACATTTACACACTACGTAAAGATTTTTGCATATTCTCTTTTCTTATGGTATTTGAATGTTATTCTCCACAAAAACTTTACAACTATTTGCGACCGTAACAAATGTCAAAATTTATCTTGGTGTAAATACATGGCAAAGCTCAAGTTTTATGGACCCCTTTAAATGTTGATATTTTCGGTTACTTTATATACGTATACAAAATATTGGAATTACTTCTATATATTGATGTTTTGAATAGTTGTTTGCATGATATGTAAACCGCGGTCTCTAAAAACTGCCCTGTAGTATGGAAACACTATTAAATGTTAACATTTACGATGTGTAAAGAAATGGCAAACACCTTCAAATAAATGTAAAGCATATGCAAAGCTTAACACCTAAATAGGTTTACCAAATATTTGCATAGGTACGTAAATCGAGGATTTCGTGCAGTGTTGTCTCATTGGCATTTATACCACACTTCTTTTTTTATACAAACTCCACTAGTAAACCAATTTTGAGAATCTTAATACGGTCTATCATTCCTCATTTATATCTCTTCAACAAAAGTTACATATAACTTACCATACACTCCACAGTTGAACGACACAAAATTGAATGCTAATATGCAGAATCCGTTGCCTATTAACATCTTAAGCCAAAGCTGTAGATAGTTCAAAATCTGTTAAACAAAATGAACATAAAGAATTTTCAACGTTGTAGCCAAGACAATAGTTTATCTTAATGTTCAGAACTAATTGTTTTATATCATTGATTACATAACCAATAGATTTGATGAACCATGTTTGCGCATTTAAAAATAATATCTTGTCAATATCTATAAGTATAATTAAGCAAGCATGTACATTTTATAGCATAAATCCTAACAAAACCTGTTATTTAACTATTATAAAGGTTTGAAAGATGTCCCTAAAGTTTACTAAATTTCAAAGTCGATACAAGGGAAAACTTCTTGGTACCAAGAATAGGATATAATCTGGGGACTCTTGTACATCACCATTGGCATCAAACATTTGCAAACTACTTACATGTACATCATTTCTGAAATACATTTTAATTCAGTCGTGCTCAAAGTTCCGAAATTATATACTTTCAATTTAAACAGCTTGTTATTTTGAAAAAAGAGGAGCGAACATCTTTAAAACATTTATATTTGTACTTTTTTCTAAAAGAAGAAGAGTATTTTTATATAGCAACATATGACAACAAATGATATAATACAGAACAGCAATAACCCAATTAATATAAACCCTAATATATTAGCTGCGTAATTTAGTTATGATAGGCTAAGCATGACTAATTAACCAATATGCTATTCATGATTTTCCTAAAGCTTCAAATTAATCATTTCTTTTGGGAATATTATAGTCAACAACTCTGCAGGAACCAGAAAAAATCTCAACGGGAGCTTTTCTTGTAATTTTACCTAGTTTGTTAAAACAGGATGACAAGTCTTTCGTCAATATCGAGACTAAAGATTTATGTAAAATGTATCATATTCGATGACATATTTTACATAAATTGTACGATGGCAAAAGCTTCGAACTCGGAAAAATCTATTCTTTTACCAGTACAGAAAAGTGAAAGAGTTTATTTTGTCCTATTTATCGTACATAACCTTAAATGAACGCGATCTTATAAAATCCAATCAGAATACCTGTAAGCATTTTATCCGTATTATCTTCAATTATTCATGACCTTATATTTGAGGTTATCAAATTCTTTAACAAATCATCTTTATAAATAATATGGTATTTAATCTTTTTATTCATTAGCAATGCTTTCATGTTTTATATTTATGTGTTCAACAAATTCAGAAATAAATGTGTATTTAAAATGCCCTATTCATACTCTAGAGGAAGTTACATATTTCAAAATGATACTTCTTGAATTTTCTAGTCGGATTTCCAGAAAGTCAATATTAAAATGAGATTGCTTCTATTGCAATTGAATACATTTATCGATAAATGGTCGTTAGCAATTACTAGTACAGTATTGTAAATGTACCTAGTTGTTTGTACGTACGTATGTAATAGCATGCATAAAATAAAAATAATTATAAAAGTGCCGAAATTACCTTTCCTATTTAATGTCGAAATTGTACACTGTTGTCATGCAGGGAATGACAACAAATGTAGTACGAGCCGGAAGTTTAAATTGTGATATGCGCATCTGATGGTTTTAAATATATTTTAACGGGAAAACCCCTTCACAGAAATAACATTTTTTTTTTGTTGTTGATGGTTATAGGTAGCACTTTTGTAAAATGAAAAGTGTCATTTACAAAAGGAACTTTTCTATAAAGTAAGTGAAACTTGAATAAAATGTTGGCATTCACAACATTTTTCCAAAATCAAAAATACTGGGCAATATAGCATTTTTTCGACATTAACATGTCTTCATTTATAGTCATTCTAAATTATCTAATTTTACTACCTCTTCCTTATATTTTATGCTATATAAGACTTCAAAATTTAACCACTGTCTAAATGATAAGATTTATAAGTTTTGTCAATCTTGGAGTCAATGTTTAAACAAAATAAAATATATTTTTTCACTTTCGGCGTAGAACTACTTAAATGAATGTTTTCTTATGACTCGTGTAGTGAAAACGTCTGTCAAACATTTTCCACCAATAAGATTCTATACAGTCTTCTCATCACTAACAGCAAATACTATCAGTTATTAGTATTTTGAATCAAACAAAATCAAAGTACCATAGGTGCTGTCAGGCAGCGAATCTGGCTTGATTATTTATTACGCATTTTGTAACTCATTTATTTTACGAAATTTACAAATGCTATATTCAAAGTAGCTGTGAAAGGCTCTATTACCAACTCAATGCCGGTTTTTAGGGAAAACACATGCAGCATGATTAAAGTATCTCTTAATCCTAGAGAGAACGATCCTATTCCTACAGAATTTGTTATCTACATAAAGCACAAAAGCATTTTGTCACACTGTTGTCAATATTTTTCTTATCATCAGATATCCTTAAATTTGTATTGTAAATTTGTCTTTTATTAAGTTTGGATAACTTTGAAATTTTTTTATTTTTGTTAAAGATAGAAAAACAATTGTTGTTGCAAGTATGACATTTCTGAAGTGTAAGCTCGGTTTATTTATCAACACTTTTTACTGCAAAAAAAAAACTATTGTAAGGCGTTTATGAAATTTACTAAGACTCAGTGAAGTGATTTCCCCCCTAATGAATATTTTGTGTTTGTCATAATTTTTGATAAGTAATAACACAGACAGTGATGAAAATATCTGAATAACTGTTGCATGCCATAATGATTGCAGGACAGTTTGTCTTACCCCTATTGTTCACAACTTTTGGCTATTAATGCTCTTTAAATTTGAATTTCATTTGGCTGTCCAACTGTTTTGATTGGAGCGCCACCGATGATTCTTATGTAGACGAAACAAGCATCTGGCGTACTAAATCTGAGATTGGAATATTTGATGAGTTTTAACACTAAATGACGCAATAATTTGACTACCAAAGATATTATTTCAGTTGTATTTACCTCCAAGCTATAATAAAATATCAAATGTCAGGAAAAATATGAGCCATGATTGGCTTATAGAATGCAATATTAGGATACAATCAACTATACTGGGAACCTAGACATTGTCAACTCGTAACAAATTCTTTCAATCATGTAACATTTCTACAGCTTTCACAATAAATGATGTAGGTACTTCTCATTCTTAAATAGTTTGCTGTGAAAAGTTTTTGAATTTTTAGTCAGAAGGCCAAGGTCGCTAACTTGCGTTTACACAACAAGCCAAACATTGAATAATTTCATCTATGCTTCACACATCTATTCCCGAAGGTATCGAATTTGAGCTGAAGGATACAATTGAAACTTGAAGGTCTGTTTCATGCTGATTTCAACAACTGTCAAATTGTCAATCTCCGATTTCTTAGCGGTAACATACCGTCTTTTCTCATCGTATGGTGTATACATATCTGAATAAATACGTTAAGCTCATGCATTTTCACGCTAAACAGACTAAAGTATTAGAAGGGTACTCCGTACATAAAATTTTCCAACAGAGTGATGAGGAAGAACGACTAACATTGACAATACTTATTTACGGACGCCAACACGAATTGGTTGACCGATACAACCTTCTTACCTGACTTCCGACATGATTTCCGCAGTCTTCGATCGTCATATACCAGAACAGTCATGTGATCTCTTATTTAATCGATTGACGCTATTCCCAATTCTGAAATGTAGTGGATTCGTATGATGAGTTATGAATGATTAGCAGGAGATACTTACACTGTCGATTGGTCCAAAGTCGCTCCTTTTCGAGTTCATGTGATTCCTACAGTTTTCATTTGATACCTTGATTTGAATCTTCTTAAACTATGAATGGGATTCGAACATCGGTAAACAACTGTTTCGAGAGTTCAATGGCGACCAATGACAAGAACTTAGAAATTTAAATGTAAAAAATTTAATGAACCAAACGCAATCTTATTTGTGTATTTTTCCATGACATGCTGGAACGCAGTAATATATATACATATACACGAGCTATATGTGCTATTGTCTATGAAAACAAAAAAAGCAGCATATGCATGATTTAAAAGATCTTGTACATATTTTGTCATACCGGTTTTATTTTCATTTTATCTGTGCAACAATTCAATGAATCTAGAAATTCCTTGTTTAAAAAAATACATAATTCGTTACAATTTAAATACATTAACACATATTTAAATTGAATTTCTAGGTAAAAAATGTTGATTTACTTACATAACCAATTAAACGTAGAAATAATAAACTATAGTCAAATATGAACTCCAAGGCAAGTGTGAAGATAAATATAATGAACACACACAACATAACTTCAAATAAATAATAAAACGATATCGTTTTTGTTTTTTTTCATAACAGTACTTCTTTTCAACACATTTTCTACATCCTATTTTTATTCCTGAAAGTGAGATGATAGTTCAGTTATCAGTCGCAGTCAACTATTACCATTCTGTTTATATTGATCACCTGTATAATTAATTAAGAAAAGTGATTAGATAGTCAATGATTTATGGAAATGTTTAAACTATCAAAATACATTTGTGGAAGAAGACAGTCAACATCACACAAAAATAAAACAAAGGCATAAAGACAAATACTAGAATAAAAAAACTAAACATTGCAACACAAATACAGATTTTTAATAATGGATTGATAACTTTTAAAATCAATGTACACTTCACATTTCTGAAATAGGCCTAACCTTTTAAAAGTCAAATGAAATGTGTTCTGGTCAATACTGGCCATTTGCTTAATTTTTCGAAAACAAAGATAAGTTTTACATACCTACTAATAGTTAATCAACTGCTCAAACCAATGAAGGACTAACATGTTGTTTCCCATGGATATCGGGAACTAGAACTCCAATATCCACGGGGAACGACATGTAAGTCCCTTATTAGTTTGAGCAGTTGATGAACTAATAGTAGGTATTTAACAAATTAAACTACAAATAAACATCTTATTCACATATGTTTTGATGATTCGTTTGATGTTCTGGTGTAAAACTTCGAATTATTCAAACGAAGTAATATGTTGAGTAGGGTCCTTTCATTATTTTAAAATTTCATAAGTCAATGTTTTCAATATCAAATTAATCTTAGATAAACGTTGGTTTATATTTTCAATATACACGACAAGTTCCACGAATAACATAAGTAAGGTAAGATGTGGTTTGGTCAATTATGTGCTGTGGATTAAATTCCATTTCTAAAAATGATTAATTGTATCTGTTAAGAGTTTTACGTACTTAGTTTTGTAAGTCATTAACTTTTTCAAATGAACAATTATGGATTGCAATGGGCTTATTTAATCATCCGATTTAAACACGAGGACCATAAACATGTTGTACACAACCAAACATAAACAAAATTGATAGCATTTAAAAGAATTGGACAAAATAGAGGATCAAAATTGTTGAAAATTAATTCAACCCGAAGAAATTTTAAAAAAGAATTAGTTTAAGCTAACTTTCATTGCTTTATGAACTTAAAACTTACAAAAAAAAATATGCTGTTGTGAAAACATTTATTTAAAAAAAATAATTTCCGATATTACAACTAAAGTCTTGTGGTTTTAGATTCCGTTCAAAAATTGAAATCTGTTGTATACACAAATATAAATCTCTATAATATATAAGGTGTTAGAATTTGGTAGAATTAGAAATGTCCACCATCTGATTCAAAAATATGAATGGAGATACTGCGTTTCAAAATACTATTAAAAGTTCATTATCAGATTTCAAGTCTCTGCTTATGCTTCTCCTATTCGCCACTCGTTCTTACAGTAAATCTGAAGAGATTCTATTGACAGTAATAGATTTAAAGATGCTTCCTCTTCTCATTGCTGTATAGACCACCATATGTCAATGACTTAATCTAAAAGTTAACAGTAGTTCTAGTTTAAAGTGAGATGTAGAGGCAACAAGAGTACTACATATAATGATCTTGGTTTTAAAAAAACTTTATATTTATAAATGCTGTGTAAAACATATATCCTGAAAACATGTTAATATGGTAACGGCTATACAATAGATTTTTAATTTCTACGAAGAAGTATTTATCAAAAGTATACAATATTTTTACTTTCCCTTTAATTTACTATAATATCATAACAATGTAAAATTAAAGATGACCAAGTCTTTAGTACCTTCAGATTCTTACCATCATATTCAAGTTAATCCATATACTGAACACAGATCTTTTTTTAAAAATCAATGCCAGTTTTCTCATATGGTTTCACTTTATCGTTAAATTTGAAGCATCTTTTTCTATCAAAATGAACAGCACAGCAGTCGTCTGACTTGATTCATTTACTATTACATTTCTCGAAAGAGGATACATCCCAAACTGTTTGAATTTCATCATCACGCCCTTTGGCATTTTGTGTGGTGTGCATGTAGCATAAAACGCAACGTTTCACATAGAACTGGCTTTCCCTAATATCGTCTTCAATACTTTTTTGTAAATTGTATACAAAACATAAATTATTATTCGTTAAGTATCGGAAGGCCCTGCAATTTGTTTGATCGATGCAAAGACCTTCACATTGTTTTATGTTATCTACTTTTTCAGCTTTTATGAGATTTTC